AAAAAAGATTTTCGTGGAGTATTGACCCAGAGCTTCTGTGAAGGGCAAGAAGCAGAGGAAGGAAGAGAACAGATGGGCCCTTCCTGTGCTTCCAGTCATTTCCAAAACAAAGACATTCCATTTGCAGACATTCTAGTCCTTGAAGCTAAGGGCAGCAGCAAAGTGATTTGATTTACCTTCTTGGTCAAACACTGCCTGTTCTTTCCAGAGTTATAGGAAAATTGATGTATCAGCCTCATTATTTGTTCTTCTAGACAATAAAATTAACTCAAGCTATTGAATACTTACTTTATTGCTGTTCCCATTAAGTCCAGGAATCTGCAGAGATTTTCAGAAACCTGAGCTTTTGTTTCTCCAATTTCAAGAAATTTCTGTATAAGCTTTTGTCTTGCTGGGGCCATCACTTGTCTGGTTTCCGTTGTAGGCTGGTTCAAAATCTTGATTTTGCCAGGAAGAGTCAGGCTTTAGGAATTTCTGGCACCCTAGCCAAACTTAGGTCTGTTTGTAAACTGGAATATTCCTTTTCTGCACATTAATTCAACACCCTACTCACAGTGTGGTCCAGTACTGATCTCTGGGCAAAGGAAAATAAAGCATAACTACGATGTGGCCCCTACTGTTTAGAAACTTATGGTTCAGACGTGGGAAAGACATGTAAACAAGCATATTATGTATAGTGTGTAGGATGATCTTATGTCCTGGGACATCCTGATGTATGCCTCTTGTCCTGGTGATAACTATTAATAGTTGTTTAGTCGCTCAGTAGTGCCCAACTCTTCTGCGACCCCATGGACTGTAGCCCACCAGGCTTCTCTGTCTATGGGATTCTCTAGGCAAGAATAGTGGAGTGGATTGCCATGCCCTCCTCTGGGGGATCTTCCCAACCCAGGAATTGAACCCATGTCTCCTGCAATAGCAGGCAGATGCTTTACCACTGAGCCACAGTGAGAGTCACTATGAATGTTCAGGGTATAGAGATGGTGGAAAGCAGGAAGAATTCCCAGAGGAGACACCTGCGCTGGTATTTTTGGACCTTCAAGGTCTGAGGGCTTGAGGTCAGGGTTGGGGTGGGGGGAAGAGTGTGCAAAACACTGCAGGCAAAAGGGAAATTGTTCCAGAAGTAACATTCAGTCAACTCAAGCTAGTCATCATTCCTAAATTTATCCTGTGGAATAAATTCCCTGGGACACTTAGTCACAATACAGATTTCTAGAACCTGCCGGGGCAATTTGGATTTGGATTTAAAAAAAATTTTTTTCCAGTCTAAGTGCTTGTCTTTTTTTTTTTTTTTTAATGTTTATTTGTCTGCACTGGGTCTCAGTCGCGGCATGTGGGATCTAGTTCCGTGAGCAGGGATCGAACCTCAGCCCCTCTGCACCTAGAGCTTGGAGTCTTAGCTGGTGGACCACTGAGGACCTCCCCTGGATTTGGATTTTTAAAGAAGGGTCATAGATGATTCTTGGACATAGTAAAGGTTCAGAACTAATTCTGTAGGGATTGTGGCTACAACTCTAAAGGGCTGGAGCAGAGGAACAGCAAGGCTAGAGTAGGAGTCACAGATCAGCCAGGCAAAGGTGACCTGGGCTGGAAAAGCCCTCCGAGGTAGAACCGGTTGGGAGACATTTACAGAGGATCTACGAAAAATGGGGACTGCAGGAATCATAATGGAATTGCAGAGGAATGAAAGGATTTGAGAACATTCAGGAGTAAAATGAACAGGACCTAGTATATGACAATTACTGATGTATGTGTGTGTGTGCGTTTAGTTGCTCAGTTCTGTCCGACTCTTTTTGACTCTCTGGACTGTAGCCCCCTAGGCTCCTCTGTCTGTGGGATTTTTCAGGCAAGAATACTGGAGTGGGTTGCCATTTCCTCTGCCAGGGGATCTTCCTGACCCAGGGATCAAACTCACGTCACCTATGTCTCCTGCATTGGAGGCAGATTCTTTACCTACTGGGCCATCAGGGAAGCCCACTAATGTATATAGACAATATCATTTCCAAGCAACAAAACACTTGTGTCAGATCCAGGAACCTGGGGAACCTTATAATCTGAAGGGTTGTGTGGTGAGCCATAAACCTAAAAATACAAACAGGGGGAGAGTGTTGTGGCATGTTTCACGTAGACCTAATAAAACAACTCCTGCTTATTTTGTAGTCTCCAGAACGATCAAAACTGTTGTGTTTATCTCTGGGAGCTGGATGAATTGCAAAGTATCCAGACACCCCAGCCCTCTTGTCTAGACTTCAGGCAAACCCCTGCCCTTCTGTTATGGTTAAGACCCACTCGCCAGGCCTGTTACCTTGCATCATTTTTGTTTTTGTTCTTGTTATCAAAATGTGTAAGGCAGTCATGATTCATCGACAGTATGCTATGCCAACCACTTTCAGGGGAAGACGTCTATCTGGCAGTGTCAGCCTTTGTTCTTAATTCTGGAGCTGCTCTTTCTGTGGGAACCTGCAACTCTGTTAATTAAGAGTAGGATAAGAAACACCTTTATCCAGGCACGAAGATCGTGAAGCCCAGTCGGTTGAGGCAATTGATAACGCCATCCCTAAGCTGAATTCCTGGAATGAAAATGAAGAAAATCCGAGGACAGCTCTGCTACTTACTTCCCTCTCTCTTCAAACATAGAGTTGGGTTTTTTTTTTTTTTCCCCCTTTGAAGGCTGAAATCACCAGGCCTGTTGACTGACTTTCGAAGCAGCAAACGGAGTCAAAAACCGAAGTTATGAAAAGAAAGCCTCAAAAAAAAAAAAAAAAAGAATGGGAGACGATCAGGCTATAATTTCAGTGTCATTTAGCACCCTTTACTCAAGACCTGGCCACGGCGCGTCCACCAGTGCGGACTGGGGAGCGAAAAAAGTATCTAAAAATTCCAGCCCTTGGCTCCTCTTGTACCACCACTGAGGGATCTGACGGGTGAAGGTGAAAAGGCTGACATTTTCCACGCCGTTCTATCAGAAAGGGGAAACGCCGTTAACAGCGGCCTCAAAAGTTGGTTTTCTATGGGTTTTTTTTTACAATAAGAGACTGAACTCTGCGAGCTTGTATCACCAACGCCATTAAGTCGCAGTAGCAGGATGAAAAAATAAACAGGGAAGGAGGGACACCCAGCGTGCGCCGACTCGGAAAAACGGGGAGCCGGTAGAACCGCTGACGGCGCCCAGGTCCTCGGCCAGTCGCCGCCTCCAGAGTCGCAGCCGCCAAGCCCCTTCCCCCGCAGCGCGGGCGCGACCACCGCGGCGCGAAGGCAGGGGGGGCCCGGCGGCTGAGCCGCGCGCTTCCGAGGCCCGTCTCCGTCGGCGCCCCTCGCCGCGCGCGCAGGTGGTACAGCCCGAGGGGGGCGGCTCCCGGGGCGCGGCTCCGCAGCAGCTGAGGCGCGACCGGCCGGCAGGGAGGCGGGAGCCCGAAGCCGGGCCCCTCGGAACGCAGACGCCGGGCCGCCGAGGCCGAGCCGCCGACCCGGGCTCCGCTCACCCCGCCCCGAGAAGGCCCCAGGAGGGGCTTCGGCGCCGCGGCCGCGCGTTCGGGAAGGAGGACGAGGAGGGAGCGGTGCGCAGCCTGCCGGCTGACTGGCTGAGAGGAAGCGCTGCGCCCGCGCCCCCGACGGCGCCCGTGAAACCACATCCGCGCCTCCGCTGGAAGCGCGTCCGGGCCCCTGTCACCGGGTCCCTCCATCTTGAAAGGGAGAAAAAAGCGCTCTCCCGTCCCCGCTCCCCTCCTCCCAGGAGCCGGGGCCGCAGGAGCCGCGCGCATGGCGTTCAGCCCCTGGCAGATCCTGTCGCCCGTGCAGTGGGCGAGATGGACGTGGTCCGCGGTGCGCGGCGGGGGCGCCGGAGAGGACGAGGCCGGAGGGCCCGAGGGCGACCCCGAGGACGAGGACTCGCAAGCCGAGACCAAATCCTTGAGTTTCAGGCAAGTACACGCGTTGCTGCTGAGATGCGGACGCGCTGCCATCCATCCATCCATCCATCCGCGGCTCATTCTGTGTGCGCGCGCGTGTGCGTGTGTGTGGTGTGTGTGTGGTCGCCACCCGCGTTAACCGTGTTCATGGCAGTGCTGCCGTCCCTGCCCGTAACCAGGTCCCCGCTGTGCAGTCGGAAGTTCAGGACGTTGTGCCCTCCCGCCGGGTGTTTCTCTCCCCTCGTTTCAGTGTGAGCTTTCTAAACCTAAACCAGAATCTGCAATCTCTCCGCATCCTCGTGTGCCTCGGTCCCTTACTCTAAGCTTCGAGCCCCCAGCCCCCGCCCCTGCACAAACACACGCACGGTCGTGGATCACACCCGCAGGACACACACACACAGTCGTGGATCACACCCGCTGGACACACACACAGACACACACAGTCCTGGATCGCACCCGCTGGCACCTGGGGCCCTCCCTACGGGGAAGAAGTCGCTCCAAGGCCCTCCTGGGACTCCCCTGTGTCCCCGAAAATGCAGCCTTGGTGAAGAAGGTCGCGAGATGCCGGGCCCCCTGGCCGCTGGAGGAGAAATGGTCGTCTCTCCTAAGCTGTCAACCCGTGTGATTGCGGGAGGCAGGTGACAGCGTCCTCGGCCTCTGGCCGGGTGCCTTGCAAACAGGTAGAGAGAGGCCTAACTCCAGAAAAAGGGCATCGTGGCGAAAACTGGCTTCGTGATTTTAGGCTGAGGGGCGATCTGAATTTTTAAGCCTCTGGCAAAGGGCTCTTGTGAGAAAAGGAGTGTTGAAGGGGCTTTTGGGGGGCTGTCAGAGGGAAGGATGACCTCAGAAATAAACGTTGCTGGAGAAAGGCCCCGGAGGATGGAGGAGATTTCAGAGAGACGGAAGCCTGAGGAGGGCGCTGCTACAGCACTGCACCCTCCCCCCCACCCCCCATCCCGGGCCAGTCCACACTGAGGACCCCCGCGCGGGGTGCAAAGTTAGCAAAAAATACTGGACCTTGTGGAGATGTAACCGGTAAAGGGGTGTCGGAAATACCGTTGAAAGTGGTAATTCCTCATTTTTCCCCCTTGGCAGCTCGGATTCTGAAGGTAATTTTGAGACCCCTGAAACTGAAACGCCTATCCGATCCCCTCTCAAGGCATCCTGTGAGTCAGACCTCGGACTGGCAGGCTCGGGGGCCAAGACCCAAGGTAAGGAAAGACTTCCCTTGTTCTGCCTTTTTTTGCTGCTGTTGTTTAAAGTTTTGAAAATGTAAATAAGGGAAGGAAAAGTGTTAATTCAGGGCCATTTTAAAAGGTAGGAGGTTGTCTCCTTACTGAGCAGGAGCTGTTTGAAAGCTCCTGGCATATTTGAAATGGTTTATTTGTTTGTATTTTTCCGAGTATGGAAGCCAGAAGCTTTCTTCTCTAAGTAGGTTGTACATTTTGCAGTAAGAAATTATCATTATCAGAACATTCCTGCTGGGCCCTGAAAAACAAAAATGTGGGTGGTGATGTCGGGATGGAGGTGTGTTTAGATTTGGCTTCACACATTTCTCAGGCCTGCGCATTTTCTTCAGGGTGTGGCTAGAGACAAGAATTATAGGTAGGAGCTGAATTTTTTTAGACAAGCAGGAATCTTAAGAGGTGGTGTCAAAGTTCTTCACCGCCCCTGCTTCCACCAGGGATGGTGGTAAGCCCCAGTCCACCCAAGAAAGCCTGGCATGGAGATGCCCTTCTGCGCTCAGAGCCCAACCTTGAGCCTGCCTTTTATCTGCAGAGACTGCTGCTGTTCCTCTCAATTAGCGGAAACCGTTTTTGTCCCACAGCCAGTTCTGAGTAAAATCTCACCTGGCCTGATCGCAGGCAGTTAGCTGTTTAGAGTGGCTGTGATTCAGCAGTGAAAACAGTCTCCATCTCTGCAGGCCAGCGTCATGGAGGGTGACAGGTCTTTCAGAGGTTAAGCAGAATGTATCTACCTGTCAGCTTGGCGTCCCTGGTGGCTCAGCGGCAAAGAACCCTTCTGCAGTGCAGGAGACGCAGGTTTGATCCCTGGGTTGGAAAGATCCCCTGGAGGAGAGCCTGGCAGCCCACTCCAGTATTCTTGCCTGGAGAATCCAATGGACAGAGGAGTCTGGCAGGCTATAGTCCTGGGGTCACAAAGAGTCAGACACCATTGAAGTGACTTAGCACGCACGCACACACCTGTCAGCTTGGTCCTAAGTATGACAGAGAAAAATGGAGCTGGGGGAGGGTTGGTAGGAGGTGCTGAAGGCTGATGGGGTGGGGAACCTGACTAATCAGCGGACTTGAACAGAGTCCTGGAGGAGAATTGAGGGGGCATGTGTGCAGTTTCCTGAGGAGAACTCTTCTAGCAGCATGGCTCCTGGGAAGGTCTGAGACAGCACCAGCCTGAGGCGGAGGGGTGGGGAGGGAAGTGCCCAGGGGGGCAGCATGTTGGAAGTCAGGGAAGGGTCCGGGTGGCTGCAGCAGCGACCAGGCAGGGAGCCGGAGTCAGCCAGGTAGGGGACGGTCTGGGTCTTGTGGTCTCAAGGCGTTCATTTTCCTTCTGAGTGAGATCGGAAGGACTGCCTTTAAAAAGTGCCACAAACCAGACAGCTTAAAACAATGGAAATTGGTTCCCTCTCTGTTCTGAAGGCTAGAAGTCTGAAATCAAGGTGTTGTCAGGGCCAGGCCCTTTCCAAAGGTTCTAGGGGTGAATTCTTCCCTAGTTTCTTCTAGCTTCTGGTGGTTGCCAGTGATTCCTGGTGTTCCTTGGCCCGTGGCAGCAAAGCTCCCATCTTACCTGGTCAGCTTCTCCCTGTGTATCTCTGTCTCTTCATGTGGCTTTCTTAGGAGGACACCAGTCATTGGAGTTAGCAAGCACTCCAATCCAAGTCGACCTCTTAACTTAATTACACCTACAGAGATACTACAGTTGAGCCTTGAGCAACATGGGTTTGAACTGTGCAAGTCCACTTGACACAGATTTTTTTTTCACTAAGTGTGTTCTAGAGCAGGGGTCCCCAACCTCCAGGATCTAATACCTGATTCTCTGAGGTGGATCTAATGTAATAATAATAGAAATAAAGTACACAGTAAATGTAATGCAACTGGGTTATCCTGAAACCATTCCCCATCCCCTACCCCCATCCATGGAAAAATTATCTTCCGTGAAATGGGTCCTTGGTGTCAAAAAAGTTGGGGACCACTGTCTTAGAGTACTACACGGTCCACGGTTGGTTGAATCCAAGGATAGAGAAATGTGGATATGGAGGGTTTTCACCTGTGCTAAGTGGTTGGGGGTAGACACCCCTAACCCCCACATTGTTCAGGGCTCAACTGTCCAGATAAGACCACATTCCCAGGTATGGGGAGTTAGGACTTGAGCTTATCTTTTGGAGGGAATATAGTCCAACCCACAGCAGGGCTTTGAACAGAGGGACAGTGCTGTCACTTCCTTTTTCAAAGGATAGCTGGCTGCTGTCTGGAGAAGGGACTCCAGGATGGAAGTCCTTTTCCTGTGTTTTCTCTATTCCAGTGAGTGTCATTGTCACCTGCAGTGACGAAATAGAGCCAGCTTCCAGTTACCGTGTTACCTAATTTTTGATCAGGTTGTGAATTTATTCTCCCAGCGGTTATTATATTTCCTTGCTTAGCAACTTCCTCATAGGTTGCCCGGGGAGCTCACAGGAAGTCTGTGCTGGATTTCGTGATGGAGCTGGACTTAGTGGGGAAGTGAAACCAGCTTTTTGTGATTTGGTTTTGCTTTCCGTGGTGAGCTCCAGGGACTTCCCTGGCAGTCCAGTGGTTAAGACTCCACGCTTCCAATGCTGGGAGACACAGGTTTGATCCCTGGTCAGGGAACTAAGATCCTACACACCACGTGGTGTGGCTAAAAAAATTTTTTTTAATAGATCAATAAATGGTGAGCTCCATATTGTGCTGCCCTGCTGAAAATACACTTAGCTGGCCCTGGGTCGCTTTTTTACCATGAGTTCAGGCAGAGACCGCATGGGAACAGGCAGCTTTGCATGTTAGAGGACTTGTGTGTGCCACTTGGCTGGGTAGCGGTCTCCATGACAGAAGATGCCGCTTCATAGCTTCCCCTTTCTTCTCTCAAGATTGGCAGATCTGAAGGGAGATTTGAAAGCCTGAGAGAGCTTTTCTGTGGCCTTCCCCTCAAATTTAAATAAAGCTCACAAGACAGTTTGAAAGCCTCTTTGAATTGCTCAGCCTGGGCCGCCTGCTTCCTCACCATCCTGTCAGCTGGTGGTCTGATTCATCCTGACAGATTCTTCGCTAATTGAATGGAGGCCAGTATGGCCCAGGCCCCCAGAACCACACAGACCCAATTGTTTGGTCCTTCCTGTACCACTGACTCATTTTTATAAGTTTTGGTCACTTACGGCTCAAACTCTCTTTTCTCGGTCTCTTTAGAATTTTTCTTTTTAAGAGAGTCACGGACCAAGAAAGGGCATTCCAGATGGCTCAGCGGTAAAGAATCCGCCGACAACGCAGGAGACGTGGGAGATGTGGGTTCGGTCTCTGGGTCGGGAAGATCCCCTGGAGGAGGAAATGGCAAGCCACTTGAGTATTCTAGCCTGGGAAATCCCATTGACAGAGGAGCCTGGGGGGCTACAGTCCATGGGGTCACAGAGAGTCAGATGCAGCTGAGCGTGGATCAAGAAAGCTCAGTGAAGTAGCTCAGGATTGTGGACCATGAAAGTGGCAGGCGGAGCAAACTGGGAAGCAAGCAGTACACATGATGAAGTCTTGCCATTTAGTGTCTTTAAATAACAGGATGATTCCCCATCAGCCTGGCAGTATCCTGCCCTCTGGGGCTTCTTCCCCCAACACCAGTCCTTGTCCAGAGTTCTGTGGATGGCCTTGTCATGCGTACACAGTGAGTGTAAAAATACAGCCAGAGCACAGGTCTGACCGGGAAGATATCAGTGGGCAAAAATTCCTGGAGTCTAAATGTTGAAGTCTTAATTTCTTGGCCTGGAAGTTTCTCTTTCTAAAAATTGTTGATTATTTGACTCCTGATAAGGTGGTGTGCATTCTCAGTTTTGCTCAGTTGTGTCTGATTCTTTCGATCCTGTGGACTGCAGCCCACCAGGCTCCTCTGTCCTTGGGATTCTCCAGGCAAGAATAATACAGGTGCAGGTTACCATTTCCTCCTCCAGGGCATCTTCCCCATCCGGGATCAGACCCGCATCTCCTGCCTTGACTGGCAGATTCTTTACCACTGCACCACGTGGGAAGCCCCCTAATAATATGGTTAGTCTTTGATGCAGGGGAACAGCACTTGTAGATCATGTAAGACTCTGTCTTTTGGCAGGATGATCTATAAGCTCTGTAAAGGGTGTTTAAGTTGCTGATGTTACTGTTCTTTCTCTTTGCTGGGAGATGTATCAGTAAGGAGACATCACCTAGGAAAGGAATTTTGAGAGGTACAGTCTCAAGTTCATCGTTTTTTTGTTGTTTCCAGTGCTGATGGACTGTGGTTTTGTCCTGTGTTTTAGATTATAAAAGTGAAAGCTGCACTGGCTGTTCTCTGCTGTCCTCTGTTAATTGAAGCCTCCCCCAGCCCTCACACACAAACACACGGGCCTTTGTTTACAAATTGTTACCTTTCTTTGAGAGAGGGAATTTTAATTCACATTGAAGCTCTCTGTGCCCTTGGAACAGTTACCCTGTTTGATGTGTTGATTAGATGACTAGATACACCAAACACATAACATAGTCCTCCAGAACAGGAGAGAGATAAGCAGGGTCAGTCAATAGGTTTACTGCAGGAGGCCTGTGGGGACTGCCGACTTGTTGACATAGTTTGGGTCAGTGTAAATGAGGCATCCATTGGCCAACAATAGCTCATAGGCCTGCTGTTGCCTATTACTGTTCTGTTGGAGAGCTGAGAACTGTTTCTACATTTTTAAATGGCGGAAAACAATATTTTGTGTGCAAAGTATATGAAGATCAAATTTCAGGGCCCATAAGTAAAGTTTCATTTTGGAACGCAGCCGTGCATTTAGGTGTAGTCTGGCTGCTTTTGCAGTAAAATAGCAGATTGAATACTCAGAACAGAGGGAAATGCCTGAAATATTTACAATCTGGCTCTTTACAGGAAGTTTGCTGACCTTGATCCACATTTGTGATGATTTTGGTAAAATGATAAAGTTTAAGTACTGTATAATTTGACCTTTACT